GATGMWRSAACGAGGTACTGCCTAAGGSTCATGCATTGGAGATGCCATTCTTGCTTGAGTTTCACCAGGATAGTATGGATGGTATTACACATGGATACCAATCTATTGCAATTTATGACACACTTCTTGCAATCTCAACTTTTATTGAGGGGGCACTTGACTCATCTGATGCTGAGCTTGTTCATGAGGACAAGGATGGTTCAATGAAGGTGATGCTGGTGGAACTGAAAGTGCACCTATCCTACTTCACCTTTTATGGTGAAAGAAATAGGATGGRAGTGAATCTTGGCTTCCATGTATGGGAGAACAGAGAGCCCATTTATGTTGAGCTTGATACTGAGAATGAAGAGTTCCAAAAGTAAAYTCCTAATCAAAAAGAGAGCTTCTTTCAAGTGCTTCATCATCTTGCTGTYAGAAATCTTTGACTTGCAAAGGACTCATGATCATTGGTAACCACAAGAAGATTATGCTTGGAGTCTTTTGTAAATTGCATTGATGAGACTATCAATGCATACCATACCATCATTAAAGATCTATACAGTTTGAGTCCTCCAGCCAATTTATGATTCAGAGCTTTATTTGCCTRTAGAGGTGATACAGCAAGTGATCCAGTAAGAAGAAATGAAAYCAATTGGACTATTGCTGGATTTGTTTCAGAACTCATTTTAGAACTCATATTACATCTGGAAGAAGCTTTGGATAGACTTCTGTCCTAAATGTAACCACCCACATGGATTAACCTTAGGTATGAACCAGGAAGATGACCTTCACCCAACCTTTGAGACAAAAATATCAACTGACTCTCAAGTCATCACCTGGGAAGTTATCCATACCATCTTCACCTCCAAAGATAAATGCCCATATCATTGAACTCCATGATGGCCATGGATACAAAGCTTTAAAGAAGGCAATCATCTGCAAYACTCACCCACTCCTGATTGAATCACCATCCATGTTAGTTACAACTTGCCCTAATCAAGGAGCTCTCTCTCCCTCATGGAATACTGGAAGAAATTCAACCACTACATCATGCTTTGCACATTAATYRAAGGCAATAAACAAACTRTATATGACAGAAATGAATGAAAACATKTTGTGAATGGATGTACACACTCTTCTTTTCTCCAAACAGAAATACGTTGAGAGCAAGATKTTGATAATCTAAAACACAGGTTTGAACCAWCCAACTTTGTTGCAACTCTTCAACAATATTTGAACTTTCCTAATAGCCCAACGCAAGTACAACAAGTGACACAAACCCCACCTTGAAAATACAAATCAAATATACCAACATACAAAYRTACTGATAACATTCCAAAACCTATCTTGGTAAATCAGATTCAAACTGCTGAAATTGACACAGACCACCYAAGTTTTGCCTACTCAATGTCAATCAATCAAATCAAAGCAAACCCRGCTTCATTCAACTGCCCATGCGTTGTTTGTGACATGATGACAGGCCAAACCTCCCTAMATACTTTTGAAAATTGTCCAATCCTACAACAATCTAATCTTCTCCCTCAAAATTTCATCAACTTCTGCCAAATGTATAAWTGTGCTCAAAACACACTGGGAAGGCAAATGCAACAGTCAACCTTGTTCATACAGAAGCACCAACAGAAGAAACACAGATGGTAGTTGACAAAACCTTTCCAACCAATGGTTCACCAAACAAMGGAGAAAACAAAATGGGTTTTGTATAGGGCATACCACAAAACTGGAACCTTGAAGCCCTCCATCTTCTCCATCAACACCAGCCCCTGTCCTTCATATACTTCACCAGAACGCTTCCCATGTAATGCATATGCAATTTATCCAGTCCAGTGACATCACACATGATACGTCACATCATCCACTGTCAAAYATCATAACAATACCAAAATATCCACATCATGCTTTTACACAAAAAATTGAAAAAGGTCCCAATATGCCCTGCAAATCTTTTGACAAATCTGAAATAAAAATCATCAATATAATTCATTATAAGACATACAGAACATACCACTACTACCAAAGATATACACCATGAAGATTCCTTCAGCAGTCAGAGCACAGCAGATCAAYACTGGTGCTGATATAACATGCAAAAATTTGATTGGCGTCATTCACAATTACAAGAAACCATACAAGAARGAATTTCCATGTCAGCTCAAACTTGTTGGTGCAATAAACTCTACAGATGGAGTATATCCCCATGGCAARGGATATATTCATGTCCCTGCTGTAAATGAAAAAGGATATGTCTGGCTTTGTTGTATATATTCTCCAACACCATCCTTGACATTAATCTCTGAAGACAACATCATATGCTCCAATCCATGACTAAGACTTTGCGACTATACCATTGTGTTATACAAATTTCACAATTCAAATACAAKCACAATTCAATGCAAACATCAAAAAGACAACAACAAATCAATCACCATACACGGCCTTATTTCCTTTGGAAAATTGTACAAACAACTGTTAATAATGCCTGATCTGTTACCACATCATCCTTGAGCAAATGAATATAATTCTCTCAAGAAAGCACTCCAAGAAGATGAACAATGTTCATTGTCAATAAAATCCATATATATATATATATATATAAATGTGCACATGAACACATTGAACATGAGATAAATCAATTACTGTCAGATCTCCCTGACCATCCGGTCAATGA